GTGTTCAGCTGGGTCAAAGCCCATTTTGGAGACCAAGGAAATGAAAGAGCGGACAGTCTGGCTAAAGAGGCTAGTTATCTAAAAACAAAGGAATCATACAGAAAAATATCTACAAAATATATAAAAACTGAAATCAAAAATAGATACATATTACAGTGGCAACAACGGTGGGAAATAACTACAAAAGGAAGGGAACTCTTTGAATACATACCAGATATTAACCAGAGGTTAAATAACAAACATCTACAAATTGGACACAAATTCACAAGATTCGTGACAGGTCATGGAGATTTTGCGAAATATCATTATAGATTTAATCATCGAGATGATGAAAACTGCGAGATTTGTGGGGTAAGTGAAACACCCACACACATCTTATTTGACTGTATGCAATATGAAAAAGTAAGAAACGAGTTAAAATTAGTTTGTAACAAAGAAGGTTACGATTGGCCTATTAGGAAAAGTAGCCTTATAAATAATGTTAACATATATTATTATTTCAATGAATTTATAAAAACTTGTTATAAAAACAGAACATAAAAATTTCTCTCATAGTTCATTGTCAAATTAATGACATCAAATACTCTACTCAACAAAAATATAATTAATGTAAAAAATATAATTATTGGGTATTAATGTACTGCGGCTACGACCGCGACTGTGTAATCTTAACTACCTGCAAAGCATATGCGAAGCAGGATTAATTAAAAGAGGAGTACCTCAAGCCAGTAGCATTTAATGCTACAGGTCAGAGGGAGTGCTCCACTAAATGTAATGTAACCTACAAGTATATGTAATTAGTCCTTTAGCACTCTTTAGCAAAACGAAAGCAACAAATGTGTATTTTTCGTCCATATATTGTATTTCTGAAATTTTGTTAAGTATGAAAATTAATCTTCTAAGAAAACTTGTAGAAGTAATGTTGTTCGGCATTAAAAATTGTAAATAAAAATGTTTCGAGCTAGAATCCATATTTTAATGTTACAAACCACTGCGTGTTGTATGATCCTGTATCATGTTTGCATCAGCTAACGTTCAGAATGCGTTATGGCTTTTATTAATCACCACAACGCGTAATGGTCAAATATCATGAAAGCCACGACGCGAATTTCGCTTTGTGGTTCCAAAACGGCCAAAACACGTTGTGGTCTTTTTTTTTCGCTCAATGAGCGATTTCTGTCTTTGAGCCTAAAATATATATAGGCTATATACAGTAGTGGTATATAACATTTCGTGAATGATATCTTCAAATTGAATTTAAACTAAGAAATATTAATACAGGGCTACTGCACTAGGGATTTTCGACACCCCCAACGGTTTAAAAGTTGCACTGTTCATAGATTGATTTGTTTCCTCTTCAGTAGCTTCATGATTTTATGTATAAAGCATGCTCAGAAATTACTACGATGTTGCAGAAATTTCAGTAAGAGA